AGTGGCCATACACCCTGGGTGTTGTAGTGGTCATACACCCTGGGTGTTGTAGTGGTCATACACCCTGGGTGTTGTAGTGGCCATACATACTGGGTGTTGTAGTGGTCATACACCCTGGGTGTTGTAGTGGCCATACATACTGGGTGTTGTAGTGGCCATACATACTGGGTGTTGTAGTGGTCATACACCCTGGGTGTTGTAGTGGCCATACATACTGGGTGTTGTAGTGGCCATACATACTGGGTGTTGTAGTGGCCATACACCCTGGGTGTTGTAGTGGCCATACATACTGGGTGTTGTAGTGGCCATACATACTGAGTGTTGTAGTGGCCATACACCCTGGGTGTTGTAGTGGTCATACATACTGGGTGTTGTAGTGGCCATACATACTGAGTGTTGTAGTGGCCATACATACTGGGTGTTGTAGTGGCCATACATACTGGGTGTTGTAGTGGTCATACACCCTGGGTGTTGTAGTGGCCATACATACTGGGTGTTGTAGTGGCCATACATACTGAGTGTTGTAGTGGCCATACATACTGGGTGTTGTAGTGGCCATACATACATACTGGGTGTTGTAGTGGTCATACACCCTGGGTGTTGTAGTGGTCATACACCCTGGGTGTTGTAGTGGTCATACATACTGGGTGTTGTAGTGGTCATACACCCTGGGTGTTGTAGTGGTCATACATACTGGGTGTTGTAGTGGCCATACATACTGGGTGTTGTAGTGGCCATACATACTGAGTGTTGTAGTGGTCATACATACTGGGTGTTGTAGTGGCCATACATACTGAGTGTTGTAGTGGTCATACATACTGGGTGTTGTAGTGGTCATACATACTGGGTGTTGTAGTGGTCATACATACTGAGTGTTGTAGTGGTCATACACCCTGGGTGTTGTAGTGGTCATACACCCTGGGTGTTGTAGTGGTCATACATACTGGGTGTTGTAGTGGCCATACATACTGAGTGTTGTAGTGGTCATACATACTGGGTGTTGTAGTGGTCATACATACTGGGTGTTGTAGTGGCCATACATACTGGGTGTTGCCATACACGGGGTTGTAGTGGTCATACATACTGGGTGTTGTAGTGGCCATACATACTGAGTGTTGTAGTGGTCATACATACTGGGTGTTGTAGTGGTCATACATACTGGGTGTTGTAGTGGCCATACACCCTGGGTGTTGTAGTGGCCATACATACTGGGTGTTGTAGTGGTCATACATACTGGGTGTTGTAGTGGTCATACACCCTGGGTGTTGTAGTGGCCATACATACTGGGTGTTGTAGTGGTCATACATACTGGGTGTTGTAGTGGCCATACATACTGGGTGTTGTAGTGGTCATACATACTGGGTGTTGTAGTGGCCATACACCCTGGGTGTTGTAGTGGCCATACATACTGGGTGTTGTAGTGGCCATACATACTGAGTGTTGTAGTGGTCATACATACTGAGTGTTGTAGTGGTCATACATACTGGGTGTTGTAGTGGCCATACATACTGGGTGTTGTAGTGGCCATACACCCTGGGTGTTGTAGTGGCCATACATACTGAGTGTTGTAGTGGTCATACATACTGGGTGTTGTAGTGGCCATACACCCTGGGTGTTGTAGTGGCCATACATACTGTCATACATAGTGTGTTGTAGTGGCCATCACCCTGGGTGTTGTAGTGGCCATACTGGTCATACATACTGAGTGTTGTAGTGGTCATACATACTGGGTGTTGTAGTGGCCATACACCCTGGGTGTTGTAGTGGCCATACATACTGGGTGTTGTAGTGGTCATACATACTGGGTGTTGTAGTGGCCATACACCCTGGGTGTTGTAGTGGCCATACATACTGAGTGTTGTAGTGGCCATACATACTGGGTGTTGTAGTGGTCATACATACTGGGTGTTGTAGTGGCCATACATACTGGGTGTTGTAGTGGCCATACATACTGAGTGTTGTAGTGGTCATACATACTGGGTGTTGTAGTGGTCATACATACTGGGTGTTGTAGTGGCCATACATACTGAGTGTTGTAGTGGTCATACATACTGGGTGTTGTAGTGGTCATACATACTGGGTGTTGTAGTGGCCATACACCCTGGGTGTTGTAGTGGCCATACATACTGGGTGTTTTAGTGGTCATACATACTGGGTGTTGTAGTGGTCATACACCCTGGGTGTTGTAGTGGCCATACATACTGGGTGTTGTAGTGGTCATACATACTGGGTGTTGTAGTGGCCATACATACTGGGTGTTGTAGTGGTCATACATACTGGGTGTTGTAGTGGCCATACACCCTGGGTGTTGTAGTGGCCATACATACTGGGTGTTGTAGTGGCCATACATACTGAGTGTTGTAGTGGTCATACATACTGAGTGTTGTAGTGGTCATACATACTGGGTGTTGTAGTGGCCATACATACTGGGTGTTGTAGTGGTCATACATACTGAGTGTTGTAGTGGTCATACATACTGGGTGTTGTAGTGGCCATACACCCTGGGTGTTGTAGTGGCCATACATACTGAGTGTTGTAGTGGTGTGGTGGTGATGTACTGTGTAGTGTGGTGGTGATGTACGGGTAGTTATGGTAGTGTGGTGGTGATGTAGGGGTAGTTATGGTAGTGTGGTGGTGATGTAGGGGTAGTTATGGTAGTGTGGTGGTGATGTAGGAGTAGTTATGGTAGTGTGGTGGTGATGTAGGGGTAGTTATGGTAGTGTGGTGGTGATGTAGGGGTAGTTATGGTAGTGTGGTGGTGATGTAGGGGTAGTTATGGTAGTGTGGTGGTGATGTACGGGTAGTTATGGTAGTGTGGTGGTGATGTAGGGGTAGTTATGGTAGTGTGGTGGTGATGTAGGGGTAGTTATGGTAGTGTGGTGGTGATGTAGGAGTAGTTATGGTAGTGTGGTGGTGATGTGTGTTATGGTAGTGTGGTGGTGATGTAGGAGTAGTTATGGTAGTGTGGTGGTGATGTAGGGGTAGTTATGGTAGTGTGGTGGTGATGTAGGGGTAGTTATGGTAGTGTGGTGGTGATGTAGGATGTAGTTATGGTAGTGTGGTGGTGATGTAGGGGTAGTTATGGTAGTGTGGTGGTGATGTAGGGGTAGTTATGGTAGTGTGGTGGTGATGTATGTAGTGTGGGGTAGTTATGGTAGTGTGGTGGTGATGTACGGGTAGTTATGGTAGTGTGGTGGTGATGTACGGGTAGTTATGGTAGTGTGGTGGTGATGTAGGGGTAGTTATGGTAGTGTGGTGGTGATGTAGGGGTAGTTATGGTAGTGTGGTGGTGATGTAGGGGTAGTTATGGTAGTGTGGTGGTGATGTAGGGGTAGTTATGGTAGTGTGGTGGTGATGTAGGGGTAGTTATGGTAGTGTGGTGGTGATGTAGGGGTAGTTATGGTAGTGTGGTGGTGATGTAGGGGTAGTTATGGTAGTGTGGTGGTGATGTACTGGTGTAGTGTGGTGGTGATGTACTGTGTAGTGTGGTGGTGATGTACTGTGTAGTGTGGTGGTGATGTACTGTGTAGTGTGGTGGTGATGTATTACGAGGCCCAGACTAGCTCAGGGCTCCTTATATATAGATTCATTTTTTTTAACCTAAATGGTTTTAAAATGGGATGCCAATCGATGAGCTGCCTCCCCCCCCCAGAGAACATTCACAAGAACAGTAACACACATTCAACCAATACACAAACATGTGGTAAAATAATGCGGCAAATACATACGGTTATATATATATATATATATATATATATATATATATATATATATATATATATATATATATATATATTTTATTAATATGACCGAAAAAGTAAGATTAATAATTCTAACACGAATTTTCTCAATCTTTCGTACATTATGCTTCACTGTTGGAGGTAAATCAAAAATCACCTCCAACAGTGAAGCATAATGTACGAAAGATTGAGAAAATTCGTGTTAGAATTATTAATCTTACTTTTTCGGTCATATTTAATAAAATATGTCTACAGGAAAGACTGCTACCAAAATATACTAATATATATATATATATATATATATATATATATATATATATATATATATATATATATATATATATATATATATATATATATATATATAAATTTGCCTTTTATATATTTTATATATAAAAGGCAAATTTATTGGACAGCATCACTGATCTTGCGAGTGCATGGGTACTCCACTACAACACTCCACTACAACACTCCACTACAACACTCCACTACAACACTCCACTACAACACTCCACTACAACACTCCACTACAACACTCCACTACAACACTCCACTACAACACTCCACTACAACACTCCACTACAACACTCCACTACAACACTCCACTACAACACTCCACTACAACACTCCACTACAACACCCCACTACAACACTCCACTACAACACTCCACTACAACACTCCACTACAACAAAACTGTACAACACATTATTACCACAACACCGTTCGTTATAAATCATTTTGTCCGGGTCAGGCAGCCTGAGCATATATAAATGTTATGGTTATAACGAGGCTTGCCCAAGCTCGCCCTACTGACGCTCCCTAGGAAGCAACACCGCTAGGTGAACAGAGGCATTAGGTGATGAGGAACGTCCCCAATCATTTGATCCGTCAAGAATTTCCGTTACGAGTCGAGAACGAACTATCGAAGAATTCAACTCAATTAAATTTCTTTATTATGCACCCCATACCCATCCCGTGGGCGGTGGTGTAAAGGATTACAGAGGCACATAATCGGTTCTAGGAATTACTTCGTATGGCCAGACTATGTAATTTATTACAAATATAAATCAAACTTTTTCAAAGCTGTCAAATTGAACTTTACAAAAAATCAACGTCATCATTCACTCAACACACAAACTGTTGTGTTTACAAATATAAGACAAAGATCCTGCAAGTATACTCACTTTAATTTCGATTTACAAAGAATATCTAAACTGACATTTTCTGAAGTATGCGGCCAGACAACGAACGTTACTTACTTAGTTGGTAACGTCGATAACGCGTGTAAACAATCAAGAGGAGATACGACACATGCGCGTGTTGGAGCGCGAGCGAGCGGCACAACCTCCCTCTCCCGTCACTGATCAACAACTGGCTGGCGCCGGCCCGGCCAGGCTCGGCGTGTCTGCTGCCCATCAGTTGAGGGACAATGAGAGCGCCCGTGGGGACGGGCAGGCTACCCAGCCCGTCCTCTGTCCTATCCACCGTCCCTAACATCGCTTAACTGATGTCCTAAATCACAGGAACCTAACGTTCGCGGACACTACAACAGAAGACGGGACATCACATCATTTTAGGAGTCGCTATGGTTTTTGGTACAGCTTTGTTTATGTCGCTGCTAACACCCGTATGCACTCTATCATACCACTGACTGTGGAGGTACCCACCACACCACACTGTGGAGGTGCCTACCACACCACACTGTGGAGGTACCCACCAAACCACACTGTGGAGGTACCCACCACACCACACTGTGGAGGTACCCACCAAACCACACTGTGGAGGTACCCACCACACCACACTGTGGAGGTACCCACCACACCACACTGTGGAGGTACCCACCACACCACACTGTGGAGGTACCCACCACACCACACTGTGGAGGTACCCACCACACCACACTGTGGAGGTACCCAGCACACCACACTGTGGAGGTACCCACCACACCACACTGTGGAGGTACCCACCACACTGTGGAGGTACCCACCACACCACACTGAGGAGGCACCCACCACACCACACTGTGGAGGTACCCACCACACCACACTGAGGAGGCACCCACCACACCACACTGTGGAGGTACCCACCACACCACACTGTGGAGGCACCCACCACACCACACTGTGGAGGTACCCACCACACCACACTGTGGAGGTACCCACCACACCACACTGTGGAGGTACCCACCACACCACACTGTGGAGGTACCCACCACACCACACTGTGGAGGTACCCACCACACCACACTGTGGAGGTACCCACCACACCACACTGTGGAGGTACCCACCACACCACACTGTGGAGGTACCCACCACACCACACTGTGGAGGTACCCACCACACCACACTGTGGAGGTACCCACCACACCACACTGTGGAGGTACCCACCACACCACACTGTGGAGGTACCCACCACACCACACTGTGGAGGTACCCACCACACCACACTGTGGAGGTACCCACCACACCACACTGTGGAGGTACCCACCACACCACACTGTGGAGGTACCCACCACACCACACTGTGGAGGTACCCACCACACCACACTGTGGAGGTACCCAGCACACCACACTGTGGAGGTACCTACCACACCACACTGTGGAGGTGCCTACCACACCACACTGTGGAGGTGCCTACCACACCACACACCACGGAAGTAACTACCACACACCACGGAAGTAACTACCACACCACACACCACGGAAGTAACTACCACACCACACACCACGGAAGTAACTACCACACCACACACCACGGAAGTAACTACCACACACCACACACCACGGAAGTAACTACCACACACCACACACCACGGAAGTAACTACCACACCACACACCACGGAAGTAACTACCACACACCACGGAAGTAACTACCACACCACACACCACGGAAGTAACTACCACACCACACACCACGGAAGTAACTACCACACCACACATCACGGAAGTAACTACCACACACCACGGAAGTAACTACCACACCACACACCACGGAAGTAACTACCACACCACACACCACGGAAGTAACTACCACACCACACACCACGGAAGTAACTACCACACCACACATCACGGAAGTAACTACCACACACCACGGAAGTAACTACCACACCACACATCACGGAAGTAACTACCACACCACACACCACGGAAGTAACTACCACACACCACGGAAGTAACTACCACACCACACACCACGGAAGTAACTACCACACCACACACCACGGAAGTAACTACCACACACCACGGAAGTAACTACCACACCACACACCACGGAAGTAACTACCACACACCACGGAAGTAACTACCACACCACACACCACGGAAGTAACTACCACACACCACGAAAGTAACTACCACACCACACATCACGGAAGTAACTACCACACATCACGGAAGTAACTACCACACCACACACCACGGAAGTAACTACCACACCACACACCACGGAAGTAACTACCACACACCACGGAAGTAACTACCACACACCACGGAAGTAACTACCACACACCACACCACGGAAGTAACTACCACACCACACATCACGGAAGTAACTACCACACCACACACCACGGAAGTAACTACCACACCACACATCACGGAAGTAACTACCACACATCACGGAAGTAACTACCACACCACACACCACGGAAGTAACTACCACACACCACGGAAGTAACTACCACACCACACACCACGGAAGTAACTACCACACACCACGAAAGTAACTACCACACCACACATCACGGAAGTAACTACCACACCACACACCACGGAAGTAACTACCACACACCACGGAAGTAACTACCACACACCACGGAAGTAACTACCACACACCACACCACGGAAGTAACTACCACACCACACATCACGGAAGTAACTACCACACCACACACCACGGAAGTAACTACCACACACCACGGAAGTAACTACCACACCACACACCACGGAAGTAACTACCACACACCACGGAAGTAACTACCACACCACACATCACGGAAGTAACTACCACACCACACACCACGGAAGTAACTACCACACACCACGGAAGTAACTACCACACACCACACCACGGAAGTAACTACCACACACCACGGAAGTAACTACCACACACCACACCACGGAAGTAACTACCACACACCACGGAAGTAACTACCACACACCACGGAAGTAACTACCACACCACACACCACGGAAGTAACTACCACACACCACACACCACGGAAGTAACTACCACACCACACATCACGGAAGTAACTACCACACCACACACCACGGAAGTAACTACCACACACCACACCACACCACGGAAGTAACTACCACACCACGGAAGTAACTACCACACACCACACCACGGAAGTAACTACCACACACCACACCACGGAAGTAACTACCACACCACACACCACGGAAGTAACTAACACACAACACACCACGGAAGTAACTACCACACACCACGGAAGTAACTACCACACCACACACCACGGAAGTAACTACCACACCACACACCACGGAAGTAACTACCACACACCACGGAAGTAACTACCACACACCACGGAAGTAACTACCACACACCACGGAAGTAACTACCACACCACACACCACGGAAGTAACTACCAAACCACACACCACGGAAGTAACTACCACACCACACACCACGGAAGTAACTACCACACACCACACCACGGAAGTAACTACCACACCACACACCACGGAAGTAACTACCACACCACACACCACGGAAGTAACTACCACACACCACGGAAGTAACTACCACACATCACGGAAGTAACTATCACACCACACACCACGGAAGTAACTACCACACCACACACCACGGAAGTAACTACCACACCACACACCACGGAAGTAACTACCACACACCACGGAAGTAACTACCACACACCACGGAAGTAACTACCACACCACACACCACGGAAGTAACTACCACACCACACACCACGGAAGTAACTACCACACCACACACCACGGAAGTAACTACCACACACCACGGAAGTAACTACCACACACCACGGAAGTAACTACCACACCACACACCACGGAAGTAACTACCACACCACACACCACGGAAGTAACTACCACACCACACACCACGGAAGTAACTACCACACACCACGGAAGTAACTACCACACACCACACCACGGAAGTAACTACCACACCACACACCACACACCACGGAAGTAACTACCACACACCACGGAAGTAACTACCACACACCACACCACGGAAGTAACTACCACACCACACACCACACACCACGGAAGTAACTACCAAACCACACACCACGGAAGTAACTACCACACCACACACCACGGAAGTAACTACCACACACCACACCACGGAAGTAACTACCACACCACACACCACGGAAGTAACTACCACACCACACACCACGGAAGTAACTACCACACACCACGGAAGTAACTACCACACATCACGGAAGTAACTATCACACCACACACCACGGAAGTAACTACCACACCACACACCACGGAAGTAACTACCACACCACACACCACGGAAGTAACTACCACACCACACACCACGGAAGTAACTACCACACACCACGGAAGTAACTACCACACCACACACCACGGAAGTAACTACCACACCACACACCACGGAAGTAACTACCACACCACACACCACGGAAGTAACTACCACACACCACGGAAGTAACTACCACACACCACGGAAGTAACTACCACACCACACACCACGGAAGTAACTACCACACCACACACCACGGAAGTAACTACCACACACCACGGAAGTAACTACCACACCACACACCACGGAAGTAACTACCACACCACACACCACGGAAGTAACTACCACACCACACACCACGGAAGTAACTACCACACCACACATCACGGAAGTAACTACCACACACCACGGAAGTAACTACCACACCACACACCACGGAAGTAACTACCACACACCACGGAAGTAACTACCACACCACACACCACGGAAGTAACTACCACACCACACACCACGGAAGTAACTACCACACCACACACCACGGAAGTAACTACCACACCACACATCACGGAAGTAACTACCACACACCACGGAAGTAACTACCACACCACACATCACGGAAGTAACTACCACACACCACGGAAGTAACTACCACACCACACATCACGGAAGTAACTACCACACCACACCACGGAAGTAACTACCACACCACACACCACGGAAGTAACTACCACACACCACGGAAGTAACTACCACACCACACACCACGGAAGTAACTACCACACCACACACCACGGAAGTAACTACCACACACCACGGAAGTAACTACCACACCACACACCACGGAAGTAACTACCACACCCCACACCACGGAAGTAACTACCACACACCACGGAAGTAACTACCACACCACACACCACGGAAGTAACTACCACACCACACACCACGGAAGTAACTACCACACACCACGGAAGTAACTACCACACACCACGGAAGTAACTACCACACCACACACCACGGAAGTAACTACCACACCACACACCACGGAAGTAACTACCACACACCACGGAAGTAACTACCACACACCACGGAAGTAACTACCACACACCACGGAAGTAACTACCACACCACACATCACGGAAGTAACTACCACACCACACACCACGGAAGTAACTACCACACCACACACCACGGAAGTAATTACCACACACCACGGAAGTAACTACCACACCACACATCACGGAAGTAACTACCACACCACACACCACGGAAGTAACTACCACACCACACATCACGGAAGTAACTACCACACCACACACCACGGAAGTAACTACCACACCACACACCACGGAAGTAACTACCACACCACACACCACGGAAGTAACTACCACACACCACGGAAGTAACTACCACACACCACGGAAGTAACTACCACACCACACATCACGGAAGTAACTACCACACCACACACCACGGAAGTAACTACCACACACCACACCACGGAAGTAACTACCACACCACACACCACGGAAGTAACTACCACACACCACGGAAGTAACTACCACACCACACATCACGGAAGTAACTACCACACCACACACCACGGAAGTAACTACCACACCACACACCACGGAAGTAACTACCACACACCACGGAAGTAACTACCACACACCACGGAAGTAACTACCACACCACACATCACGGAAGTAACTACCACACCACACACCACGGAAGTAACTACCACACACCACACCACGGAAGTAACTACCACACCACACACCACGGAAGTAACTACCACACACCACGGAAGTAACTACCACACCACACACCACAGAAGTAACTACCACACACCACGGAAGTAACTACCACACCACACATCACGGAAGTAACTACCACACCACACACCACGGAAGTAACTACCACACACCACACATCACGGAAGTAACTACCACACACCACGGAAGTAACTACCACACACCACACATCACGGAAGTAACTACCACACACCACACATCACGGAAGTAACTACCACACACCACGGAAGTAACTACCACACGCCACACATCACGGAAGTAACTACCACACACCACACACCACGGAAGTAACTACCACACCACACACCACGGAAGTAACTACCACACCACACACCACGGAAGTAACTACCACACACCACACATCACGGAAGTAACTACCACACACCACGGAAGTAACTACCACACACCACACACCACGGAAGTAACTACCACACACCACGGAAGTAACTACCACACACCACGGAAGTAACTACCACACACCACGGAAGTAACTACCACACCACACACCACGGAAGTAACTACCACACACCACGGAAGTAACTACCACACACCACGGAAGTAACTACCACACACCACGGAAGTAACTACCACACCACACACCACGGAAGTAACTACCACACCACACACCACGGAAGTAACTACCACACCACACACCACGGAAGTAACTACCACACACCACACACCACGGAAGTAACTACCACACCACACACCACGGAAGTAACTACCACTACGTAAGCAGGAGACGCACTACACACTCTGAATGAACACACACCCAGAGCGCGTGTTAGTATTCCTGAGTGTCAGTATAGAGGGCGCTGCCTCAGAGTACACACACACACACACACACACACACACACACACACACACACACACACACACACACACACACACACACACACACACACACACACACACACACACACACACACACACACACACACACACACACACACACACGTGGTTAGAATAAAATTATTGCCTAAAAATTAGGCTGTGGTTGTTCCTGGTTTGGTTGTATGTGTTAAACTCAAATAATTTATAATGTGAGCAGGATTACTATGAACTATTTACATGGGAACCAATTTGCCCTCTTCAAGTGGTGCCCTCTTCAAGTGGCGCCCTCTTCAAGTGGCGCCCCCTTCAAGTGACGCCCCCTTCAAGTGGCGCCCTCTTCAAGTGGCGCCCCCTTCAAGTGGCGCCCCCTTCAAGTGGCGCCCTCTTCAAGTGGCGCCCTCTTCAAGTGACGCCCTCTTCAAGTGGCGCCCTCTTCAAGAGGCGCCCCCTTCAAGTGGCGCCCTCTTCAAGTGACGCCCTCTTCAAGTGACGCCCTCTTCAAGAGGCGCCCTCTTCAAGTGGCGCCCTCTTCAAGTGGCGCCCTCTTCAAGTGGTGCCCTCTTCAAGTGGTGCCCTCTTCAAGTGGCGCCCCCTTCAAGTGGCGCCCCCTTCAAGTGGCGCCCTCTTCAAGTGGTGCCCTCTTCAAGTGGTGCCCTCTTCAAGTGGTGCCCCCTTCAAGTGGCGCCCCCTTCAAGTGGTGCTCTCTTCAAGTGGCGCCCTCTTCAAGTGGCGCCCCCTTCAAGTGGTGCTCTCTTCAAGTGGCGCCCTCTTCAAGTGGCGCCCCCTTCAAGTGGTGCCCTCTTCAAGTGGTGCCCTCTTCAAGTGGTGCCCTCTTCAAGTGGCGCCCCCATCAAGTGGCGCCCCCTTCAAGTGGTGCTCTCTTCAAGTGGCGCCCCCATCAAGTGGCGCCCCCTTCAAGTGGTGCTCTCTTCAAGTGGCGCCCCCATCAAGTAGCGCCCCCTTCAAGTGGTGCTCTCTTCAAGTGGCGCCCTCTTCAAGTGGCGCCCCCATCAAGTGGCGCCCTCTTCAAGTGGCGCCCCCATCAAGTGGCGCCCCCTTCAAGTGGTGCCCTCTTCAAGTGGCGCCCCCATCAAGTGGCGCCCCCTTCAAGTGGTGCTCTCTTCAAGTGGCGCCCTCTTCAAGTGGCGCCCCCATCAAGTGGCGCCCTCTTCAAGTGGCGCCCCCATCAGGTGGCGCCCCCTTCAAGTGGTGCTCTCTTCAAGTGGCGCCCCCATCAAGTGGCGCCCCCTTCAAGTGGTGCTCTCTTCAAGTGGCGCCCCATCAAGTGGCGCTCTCTTCAAGTGGCGCCCTCTTCAAGTGCGCCCCCTTCAAGTGGTGCCCTCTTCAAGTGGCGCCCCCATCAAGTGGCGCCCCCTTCAAGTGGTGCCCTCTTCAAGTGGCGCCCCCATCAAGTGACGCCCCCATCAAGTGGCGCCCCCATCAAGTGGCGCCCCCTTCAAGTGGTGCCCTCTTCAAGTGGCGCCCTCTTCAAGTGACGCCCCCATCAAGTGACGCCCCCTTCAAGTGGTGCCCCCATCAAGTGGCGCCCCCATCAAGTGGCGCCCCCTTCAAGTGGTGCTCTCTTCAAGTGGCGCCCCCATCAAGTGGTGCTCTCTTCAAGTGGCGCCCCCATCAAGTGGCGCCCCCTTCAAGTGGTGCTCTCTTCAAGTGGCGCCCCCTTCAAGTGGTGCTCTCTTCAAGTGGCGCCCCCATCAAGTGGCGCCCCCTTCAAGTGGTGCCCTCTTCAAGTGGTGCCCTCTTCAAGTGGTGCCCTCTTCAAGTGGCGCCCCCATCAAGTGGCGCCCCCTTCAAGTGGTGCCCTCTTCAAGTGGTGCCCTCTTCAAGTGGCGCCCCCATCAAGTGGCGCCCCCTTCAAGTGGTGCCCTCTTCAAGTGGTGCCCTCTTCAAGTGGTGCCCTCTTCAAGTGGCGCCCCCATCAAGTGGCGCCCCCTTCAAGTGGTGCTCTCTTCAAGTGGCGCCCCCTTCAAGTGGCGCCCCCTTCAAGTGGTGCTCTCTTCAAGTGGCGCCCTCTTCAAGTGGCGCCCCCTTCAAGTGGTGCCCTCTTCAAGTGGCGCCCTCTTCAAGTGGTGCCCTCTTCAAGTGGTGCCCCCTTCAAGTGGCGCCCCCTTCAAGTGGTGCTCTCTTCAAGTGGCGCCCCCATCAAGTGGCGCCCCCTTCAAGTGGTGCTCTCTTCAAGTGGCGCCCCCATCAAGTAGCGCCCCCTTCAAGTGGTGCTCTCTTCAAGTGGCGCCCTCTTCAAGTGGCGCCCCCATCAAGTGGCGCCCTCTTCAAGTGGCGCCCCCATCAAGTGGCGCCCCCTTCAAGTGGTGCCCTCTTCAAGTGGCGCCCCCATCAAGTGGCGCCCCCTTCAAGTGGTGCTCTCTTCAAGTGGCGCCCTCTTCAAGTGGCGCCCCCATCAAGTGGCGCCCTCTTCAAGTGGCGCCCCCATCAGGTGGCGCCCCCTTCAAGTGGTGCTCTCTTCAAGTGGCGCCCCCATCAAGTGGCGCCCCCTTCAAGTGGTGCTCTCTTCAAGTGGCGCCCCCATCAAGTGGCGCCCCCTTCAAGTGGTGCTCTCTTCAAGTGGCGCCCCATCAAGTGGCGCTCTCTTCAAGTGGCGCCCTCTTCAAGTGCGCCCCCTTCAAGTGGTGCCCTCTTCAAGTGGCGCCCCCATCAAGTGGCGCCCCCTTCAAGTGGTGCCCTCTTCAAGTGGCGCCCCCATCAAGTGACGCCCCCATCAAGTGGCGCCCCCATCAAGTGGCGCCCCCTTCAAGTGGTGCCCTCTTCAAGTGGCGCCCTCTTCAAGTGACGCCCCCATCAAGTGACGCCCCCTTCAAGTGGTGCCCCCATCAAGTGGCGCCCCCATCAAGTGGCGCCCCCTTCAAGTGGTGCTCTCTTCAAGTGGCGCCCCCATCAAGTGGTGCTCTCTTCAAGTGGCGCCCCCATCAAGTGGCGCCCCCTTCAAGTGGTGCTCTCTTCAAGTGGCGCCCCCTTCAAGTGGTGCTCTCTTCAAGTGGCGCCCCCATCAAGTGACGCCCCCATCAAGTGACGCCCCCTTCAAGTGGTGCCCCCATCAAGTGGCGCCCCCATCAAGTGGCGCCCCCTTCAAGTGGTGCTCTCTTCAAGTGGCGCCCCCATCAAGTGGCGCCCCCTTCAAGTGGTGCTCTCTTCAAGTGGCGCCCCCATCAAGTGGCGCCCTCTTCAAGTGGCGCCCCCATCAAGTGGCGCCCTCTTCAAGTGGCGCCCCCATCAAGTGGCGCCCCCTTCAAGTGGCGCCCTCTTCAAGTGGCGCCCCCTTCAAGTGGCGCCCCCTTCAAGTGGCGCCCTCTTCAAGTGGCGCCCCCTTCAAGTGGCGCCCCCTTCAAGTGACGCCCTCTTCAAGTGGCGCCCCCTTCAAGTGGCGCCCCCTTCAAGTGGCGCCCTCTTCAAGTGGCGCCCTCTTCAAGTGGCGCCCCCTTCAAGTGGCGCCCCCTTCAAGTGGCGCCCTCTTCAAGTGGCGCCCTCTTCAAGTGGCGCCCCCTTCAAGTGGCGCCCCCTTCAAGTGGTGCCCTCTTCAAGTGGCGCCCCCTTCAAGTGGCGCCCCCTTCAAGTGACGCCCTCTTCAAGTGGCGCCCCCTTCAAGTGGCGCCCTCTTCAAGTGGCGCCCCCTCAAGTGGCGCCCCCTTCAAGTGGCGCCCCCTTCAAGTGGCGCCCTCTTCAAGTGGCGCCCCCTTCAAGTGGCGCCCTCTTCAAGTGGCGCCCCCTTCAAGTGGTGCTCTCTTCATGCGGCGCCCTCTTCAAGTGGCGCCCTCTTCAAGTGGCGCCCCCTTCAAGTGGCGCCCCCTTCAAGTGGTGCCCTCTTCAAGTGGCGCCCCCTTCAAGTGGCGCCCCCTTCAAGTGGTGCTCTCTTCAAGTGGCGCCCCCTTCAAGTGACGCCCTCTTCAAGTGACGCCCTCTTCAAGTGGCGCCCCCTTCAAGTGGCGCCCTCTTCAAGTGGCGCCCCCTTCAAGTGGCGCCCTCTTCAAGTGGCGCCCCCTTCAAGTGGCGCCCTCTTCAAGTGGCGCCCCCTTCAAGTGGCGCCCTCTTCAAGTGACGCCCTCTTCAAGTGGCGCCCCTTCAAGTGGCGCCCTCTTCAAGTGGCGCCCCCTTCAAGTGGCGCCCTCTTCAAGTGACGCCCTCTTCAAGTGACGCCCTCTTCAAGTGACGCCCTCTTCAAGTGGCGCCCTCTTCAAGTGGCGCCCTCTTCAAGTGGCGCCCTCTTCAAGTGGCGCCCCCTTCAAGTGGCGCCCCCTTCAAGTGGCGCCCCCTTCAAGTGGCACCCCCGCCAAGTGGTGCCCCCTTCAAGTGGCACCCCCGCCAAGTGGTGCCCTCTTCAAGAGGCGCCCCCTTGAAGTGGCGCCCCCTTCAAGTGGCGCCCCCTTCAAGTGGCACCCCCGCCAAGTGGTGCCCCATTCAAGTGGCGCCCCCTTCAACTGGCGCTCTCTTCAAGTGGCGCCCCCTTCAAGTAGCGCTCTCTTCAAGTGGCGTCCCCTTCAGGTGGCGCCCTCTTCAAGTGACGCCCCCGCCAAGTAGTGCCCCCTTCAAGTGGCGTCCTCTTCAAGTGACGCCCCCGCCAAGTGGTGCCCCCTTCAAGTGGCGCCCCCTTCAGATGGCGCCCTCTTCAAGTAGCGCCCCCGCCAAGTAGTGCCCCCTTCAAGTGGCGCCCTCTTCAAGTGACGCCCCCGCCAAGTGGTGCCCCCTTCAAGTGGCGCCCCCTTCAAGTGGCGCCCCCGCCAAGTGGTGCCCCCTTCAAGTGGCACCCCCGCAAAGTGGTGCCCCGCTTGGTGGGGTTTGGGCAAAATGTGACCCACCGCCGCTTGCAGTAATTGGCATATTTTCGGTATAAAAATTCGGAATTTGAAACTGAGAATCATTGAATAGAGCCAAAATTTGGCTCCAAAATATGGCTCAGGAGTCGAATTTGTGATGTTTGGGATATTTTGAAAACTGCAGGGGGGTTTGGGCAAATATTACCCACCGCTGCTTTCAGTAATTGGCATATTTTCAGAATAAAAAGTAGGAATTTCAAACTGCGAATCATTGAATAGAGACAGAATTTGGCTCAGGAGTCGAATTTGTGATGTTTGGGATATTTTGAAAACTGCAGGGGGGTTTGGGTAAAATGTGACCCACCGACGCTTTCAGTAATTGACATATTTTCGGTATAAAAATTCAGAATTTCAAACTGCGAATACGTGCAGAGAGCCAGAATTTGACTCCAAAATATGGCTCAGGTGTCGAATTTGATATGTTTCGGATATTTTGAAAACAGCAGGGGGGTTTGGGCAAAATGTGACCCACCGCCGCTTTCAGTAATTGACATATTTTCGGTATAAAAATTCAGAATTTCAAACTGCGAATACGTGCAGAGAGCCAGAATTTGGCTCCAAAATATGGCTCAGGTGTCGAATTTGGGATGTTTGGGATATTTTGAAAACTGTAGGGATGCATTCATAAACTTTTACATGCTGTTCGTTCAAAATAGAAATTTTCTCAAATATAAATTAATATTATAATATATTAGTATATTGTGCATATATAGGCATAGGTTAGGTTAGGTGTTTAGGTTCTGTTGGCGATTATTTATATTTGTAGTACGTGGGTGAAGCATTTATAGCGTTGTGGTTCGAACAAAATTCGTCAGTGAAGCACTTGTTCCGGAAGTGTTCGAACGTCAGCAGTTATGAGTCGTGTGTAAACCGTTTTTCATTCTTAAACAGCTGGGGTATAACGGGTGGATGGAATGGACTTAATTTTGGCCTTTATTTATGAGGACTGGCATCAAAATGATCTCTAACAGCTAATTCGATATTAGAATAGAAGAAAGACATTATACCCGGAATACGAAGCTCCCGTATTTATCTTTTTTTCTGAACCATATGCTGGATTTTAGTCTCATTAAAATATCCGCTTCTCGTTTAACGTTATGGGGATGTTGGGTGTTAACTGAAACTATATCTTGGGTGTTGAGCACTTCTCTCTTCAAGTAATATGAAAGGAGTGACCTGTATAAGGCATAGACGCTCTTGTATGACTGGTGCAGCTGGGCACCTTTACCTTAAAAGTCCTTGTTCCTTTTATCTTTAAAATGTAGAATATATCTTAGGAATTGATAAATACATATCAGATATTTGATTAATGATGCTGCGTGAATTTTCCGAGCAGAATCTAAATGGTCTTCCAAAACAGCACTTTGAAAAAAAAGGTAAAAGCATTGTAATACTGTCCGCCAAATTTGTGGTACATAATAATTACACCTCCGCTGTGTAAAATGTACCGAAATAGTACTTTTTCGCAATGTAAGACCACAATACAGCTTGCTTCATTTTGTATTGTTTTGATACAATTCATCCCTTTACGGTGGTTGGTTTCCCCAATTTTTTATTTATTTTATTTTATTTTATATATATATATACAAGAAGGTACATTGGGTTTGTGAGAATACATTGGATAGTACAGTATTTACATTCTTGTAAAGCCACTAGTACGCGCAGCGTTTCGGGCAGGTCCTTAATCTAGCAGATAATTTTAAGTAGGTAATTTCTATCAGAATTGATAAATGATAAAAATACATTACAAGAGAAAAATGAGATGAGAGAGATAAGTAGGTATATTAAACACTTGTACATAATCCAGAAATCCCTCCTCTTCCTCCCCCTCCCACCCCATCCCACTATGAAGAACCTCGGACTTATATACTTACTTTTTTCGCAGTAGGTGCTAAATATTTCCAATATGGTGACAGAACTCTCATATTTCCTGTAGGCAGTGAGCAGCACAGCTGTTATTCTTTACTATCTTTCCCAATATACCCACCCCCGGTCCCCTCATATTAGCAGGAAGTCAGGATTATCCCTAGGTCTCCCCCAGGATGTCAGGATGATCCCTAGTTCTCCCCCAGGAAGTCAGGGGTTACTCCCCGCCGAGGCGCTTGGACTCCCCCGGGTGGTCGCCAATGCTCCCTGCCGCGTCTCAGTCAGTGCAGATTCAGAGGACGCACGGGAAGGTCGCGCGCTGCTCTCTACATCCCCGCTTGTAAAACGCTTCAGTAAGCTTATGAATTGTTTTAGTGAATAATATTAACTGAAGGTCTGTGTGTGCTTGTGCTATATAACTTGTGAATAAGCTGAAAACTTTTAATAGACAGATTTTTCACGATTTAAACATGAAGATTGGACTTAGAATATCAGTTAAGCGAGCTTAAAATTTGAGGTACAAATGTCAGTAACAGGTGTAACCTGTGTAGCAACAAGTGTCCCAGTACAGCGGGTATGGTACAACAAGTGCAGCGGTACAGTAGTAGTGACGGTACATCAGTAGCTCTAGTGGTGCACCAGCAGCACTAGCTGTACAGCCACAGGTGTAGAGGGTGAAGCAACAGGTGTTGGGGAGTGAAGCAACACGTGTAGGGAGGTGAAGCAACAGGTGTAGGGAGGTGAAGCAACAGGTGTAGGGAGGTGAAGCAACAGGTGTAGGGAGGTGAAGCAACAGGTGTAGGGAGGTGAAGCAACAGGTGTAGGGAGGTGAAGCAACAGGTGTAGGGAGGCAACCCGTCCTCGACTCAAGTCCATTACATCCAGCGGTCAACCCCACAGACGCACTCATATATTTTAACATGCTGTTCATTCAAAACGGGAATTTTCTCAATTATAAATTAATATTATAATATATTAGCATATTGTGTATATATAGGCATAGGTTAGGTTAGGTTAGGTTCTGTTGGTGATTATTTGTATTTGTATTACGTGGGTGAAGCATTTACAGCGTTGTGGTTCGAACAAAATTCGTCAGTGAAGCACTTGTTCCGGATATGTTCGAACGTCAGCAGTTGTGAGTCGTGTGTAAACCGCTTTTCATTCATAAACAGGGGGTTTGGCGGGTGCATGGAATCACTTTTGGATCTTTGTTTGGAGGACGGGCTGAGGGAGGTGAAGCAACAGGTGTAGGGAGGTGAAGCAACAAGTGTAGGGAGGTGAAGCAACAGGTGTAGGGGGGTGAAGCAACAGGTGTAGGGAGGTGAAGCAACAGGTGTAGGGAGGTGAAGCAACAGGTGTAGGGGGGTGAAGCAACAGGTGTAGGGAGGTGAAGCAACAGGTGTAGGGAGGTGAAGCAAAAGGTGTAGGAAGGTGAAGCAACAGGTGTGGGGTGAAGTGACAGATGTACTGGGGGAAGCAACAGGTGTAGGGGTAAAGAAACAGGTGTGGGGGAGGAAACAGGTGGGATGGGTTAACCAGCAGGTGTGGGGATGTAAACAAATCCTTGTTAGCGTCAACACACGCTGCCAGGCCTTGTACATTACCACCACCACTAGCGTGACACCCTGCCTGGCCTCGTTCATTACCACCACCACTAGCGTGACACCCTGCCAGGCCTCGTTCATTACCACCACCACTAGCGTGACACCCTGCCAGGCCTCGTTCATTACCACCACCACTAGCGTGACACCCTGCCTGGCCTCGTTCAGGCCTCGTTCATTACCACCACCACTAGCGTGACACCCTGCCAGGCCTCGTTCATTACCACCACCACTAGCGTGACACCCTGCCTGGCCTCGTTCATTACCACCACCACTAGGGTGACACACTGCCAGGCCTCGTTCATTACCACCACCACTAGCGTGACACCCTGCCTGGCCTCGTTCATTACCACCACCACTAGCGTGACACCCTGCCTGGCCTCGTTCATTACCACCACCACTAGCGTGACACCCTGCCTGGCCTCGTTCATTACCACCACCACTAGCGTGACACCCTGCCAGGCCTCGTTCATTACCACCACCACTAGCGTGACACCCTGCCAGGCCTCGGCGTGACACCCTGCCAGGCCTCGTTTACCACCACCACTAGCGTGACACCCTGCCAGGCCTCGTTCATTACCACCACCACTAGCGTGACACCCTGCCAGGCCTCGTTCATTACCACCACCACTAGCGTGACACCCTGCCAGGCCTCGGCCATTACCACTAGCGTGACACCCTGCCAGGCCTCGTTCATTACCACCACCACTAGCGTGACACCCTGCCTGGCCTCGTTCATTACCACCACCACTAGCGTGACACCCTGCCAGGCCTCGTTCATTACCACCACCACTAGCGTGACACCCTGCCAGGCCTCGGCCATTACCACCACCACTAGCGTGACACCCTGCCAGGCCTCGTTCATTACCACTAGGGTGACACACTGCCAGGCCTCGTTCATTACCACTAGGGTGACACACTGCCAGGCCTCGTTCATTAGCACCACCACTAGGGTGACACACTGCCAGGCCTCGTTCATTAGCACCACCACTAGGGTGACACACTGCCAGGCCTCGTTCATTAGCACCACCACTAGCGTGACACACTGCCAGGCCTCGTTCATTACCACTAGGGTGACACCCTGCCAGGCCTCGTTCATTACCACTAGGGTGACACTGCCAAGCCTCGTTCATTACCACTAGGGTGACACCCTGCCAGGCCTCGTTCATTACCACTAGGGTGACACCCTGCCAGGCCTCGTTCATTACCACTAGGGTGACACCCTGCCAGGCCTCGTTCATTACCACTAGGGTGACACACTGCCAGGCCTCGTTCATTACCACTAGGGTGACACCCTGCCAGGCCTCGTTCATTACCACTAGAGTGACACCCTGCCAGGCCTCGTTCATTACCACTAGGGTGACACTGCCAGGCCTCGTTCGTTACCACTAGGGTGACACCCTGCCAGGCCTCGTTCATTACCACTAGGGTGACACACTGCCAGATCTTGTTCATTACCACCACCACTAGCGTGACACCCTGCCAGGCCTCGTTCATTACCACCACCACTAGCGTGACACCCTGCCAGGCCTCGTTCATTACCACCACCACTAGCGTGACACCCTGCCAGGCCTCGTTCATTACCACCACCACTAGCGTGACACCCTGCCAGGCCTCGTTCATTACCACTAGCGTGACACCCTGCCAGGCCTCGTTCATTACCACCACCACTAGCGTGACACCCTGCCAGGCCTCGTTCATTACCACCACCACTAGCGTGACACCCTGCCTGGCCTCGTTCATTACCACCACCACTAGCGTGACACCCTGCCAGGCCTCGTTCATTACCACTAGGGTGACACCCTGCCAGGCCTCGGCCATTACCACCACCACTAGCGTGACACCCTGCCAGGCCTCGTTCATTACCACTAGGGTGACACACTGCCAGGCCTCGTTCATTAGCACCACCACTAGGGTGACACACTGCCAGGCCTCGTTCATTAGCACCACCACTAGCGTGACACACTGCCAGGCCTCGTTCATTACCACTAGGGTGACACCCTGCCAGGCCTCGTTCATTACCACTAGGGTGACACACTGCCAGGCCTCGTTCATTACCACTAGGGTGACACCCTGCCAGGCCTCGTTCATTACCACTAGGGTGACACCCTGCCAGGCCTCGTTCATTACCACTAGGGTGACACACTGCCAGGCCTCGTTCATTACCACTAGGGTGACACCCTGCCAGGCCTCGTTCATTACCACTAGGGTGACACCCTGCCAGGCCTCGTTCATTACCACTAGGGTGACACACTGCCAGGCCTCGTTCATTACCACCACCACTAGCGTGACACCCTGCCAGGCCTCGTTCATTACCACCACCACTAGCGTGACACCCTGCCTGGCCTCGTTCATTACCACCACCACTAGCGTGACACCCTGCCAGGCCTCGTTCATTACCACCACCACTAGCGTGACACCCTGCCAGGCCTCGTTCATTACCACTAGGGTGACACCCTGCCTGGCCTCGTTCATTATCACCACCACTAGCGTGACACCCTGCCAGGCCTCGTTCATTACCACCACCACTAGCGTGACACCCTGCCTGGCCTCGTTCATTACCACCACCACTAGCGTGACACCCTGCCTGGCCTCGTTCATTACCACCACCACTAGCGTGACACCCTGCCTGGCCTCGTTCATTACCACCACCACTAGCGTGACACCCTGCCTGGCCTCGTTCATTACCACCACCACTAGCGTGACACACTGCCAGGCCTCGTTCATTACCACCACCACTAGCGTGACACTCTGCCAGGCCTCGTTCATTACCACCACCACTAGCGTGACACCCTGCCTGGCCTCGTTCATTACCACTAGGGTGACACACTGCCAGGCCTCGTTCATTACCACCACCACTAGCGTGACACTCTGCCAGGCCTCGTTCATTACCACCACCACTAGCGTGACACCCTGCCTGGCCTCGTTCATTACCACCCATCATTAGCCGTGTGACGGTTCCTGATTAAGTAATCAGTATTCCCAATATGGACGGCACAGAGTGGTAATAGTTGTGGCTCTAACAAGTCGCCTGTTTAATAGTCCAGCCAATCAGACCGCCCTGTGTATCTCTTATCTCATTGTGATTACAGAATGCAAAAAAAGATATTACAATATTCCGCCAGTCTCGCTTGACTACCATGTAAACAAGAGCCAGATGGCCGGTAGAGGAGTAACAACATTGTTATACAAGGACAACAACACCACCAACAGGTTATAAATACCGTTTGGGGGGGGGGGGGTTGAGAGCCTATCCTCCTTAAGTGAAAGTACCTATTGTAACCATGTGGTCTACAGTACAACTATGTCGTAATGGACAAAAAAAATCCCAAATTTATTTTCATATTTTTTTCAATTTCAAATTACGTCCAAATTCGGCCATACGGGCAAACGGCCAAAAGCGACGTTCTTTTTAAGAGGACAGGTTGCTGGACAACCAGAAAGTAGACTTTTGTAGTAATGAATTTGAACAAACCCGAAATGTTTAATTATTTATTTGTTAAATCTAAATACAGGCTATCTGAAGCCTAATGTTGTAAATATATTACAGTAGACCATCGAATGTTTAATTTTAGTTTTTAAGTTTTTTTTTTCGGACTAAAAAAGAATTACAAGAAGTGGCTTACCGGGGCTGGATTACTGCATATTGATACGAGCGACGAGAGAGTACTATCAACACAGGAGGATGGGTCGTGGCCTGAATATTCAAATACGTGTGTTGTTAATTGAAGGTAAGAAAACCGAGGCTGTGT